AAAATAATTTTATTCTTTTAACATTATAAGGTTATCGTGATAACAAAGAATATCTAACTAAAATGGTTAAATTATTTATTGGCCACTGTGACCAAACTTCGATTAACTATAAATCGGCCTGGTAACTTTGCAGGCTTTCAACTGAAATTGATGTCGGAGCTGAGCTCACATTAAACTCCGACATCAGTTTCAGTTGAAAGCCTGCAAAGTTACCAGGCCGATTTATAGTTAATCGAAGTTTGGTGACAGTGGCCCTAAAAACATGTAAATTGATTTGCATTCAATTGCACTTAGTGTGCATCAGTGTTGCACTAGTTTTCCCCGTAGAAATCGCTTATTAGAGTCTACAAAAGGGTTCGTTCCACTTAACGTTCGCAACGATCGCGTGTATCATCTCATCCTTACTTAATATTCGATTACAAGAAGGACAAAATGATCCTCGCGAGCGTTGTTGCCAGACAATAGGGAACGAAGTGTAGTACCAACTGAAAGAAATAGTCGTATTAATGTCGTACCGAAGGTGTGAATAGTAGTACGAATAGTGGTACATACATTTTACCTTTTTTTTTTTGCCCCCCACCTACTTTAGCAGGAAATTCGTTTGTATATGGCGGAAAATATATATTATTATTATGTGCATTTATTCTTCGTATGCTTCTGGAATTATAGAACATAAAATACAATTACAAAATTATTTCTGTATCGCTACTGCTGTCCTCTTCTATTTCGTTTCGTTTCTTCTGTTTTGGATATAACACGTTTGCCGTCATTCTTTCAAACATTTTTTCTGTTGGCTTAAATGTTACGCAGTTTGACTTTTCTTCTTCTGCGCATTGTCGCTTTACACACTCTGTTGCTAATATAGAGCCGTTCACTGTTTCTATTTTTAACTTATTTCTGTACTTCGTTTTAATTAAATTTACCTGTACAGTTGTTTTACATTTAAATTTAGTAATTAAGAACAATATATTTATACTACACATTTCAAATAATATATTTTTATATTCAAAAACATTACCCGACTAAAAATTCGTTCGCAATCTGCATTCGAATGTGGTAGGCATAGAGCATCAAGAGCAAATCTTGCTAATTCATCAAATTCGGACTTTTCTGCAGCACCTTTTTTATTCGAAACTTCGTTCCAAAATATATCGACATCGACTTCTTGGATATCTTTCGAGAACGTAGCAGCAAACAATGGGAGACGGCGCCATTGATCATCTATTTTTTGCATAGTACAACTATTGTAATTCACAATTCTCGGAATTGTGTTCATTAGATTAAAAAGTGATGGAGTTGTATCACGATAGGACAAAGACAACGCGTTTTTTGGCTTCAGTGCCCTAAGTTTTTGCAAAACAGAGTTTTGCATATCATATCGTTTTGATATTTGACGTGCTGATATCTAAACATAATTATACATATACATAAATAACACAAATGGAAGTAAATACATAACATTCGTTATACATAATAATAAATAAAACCTTCAGAAATTCCTTGCACCTCCACAAAAATTCCTCCTTCTCTTTTTTGTTTATAATTTCATTTTCATCATTCATGACTTGAAATACTTTAATGCCAACATATATTTGTGAATTTGGAATACATTCATCTTCCTTGTAAGGATTAATATCAGAAAGTGGAGTTTTCATTACGTAATCTCTCTTCATGTAGCATAGAAGAATTTCTTGATACAGATTTATTATTTTGTCATGTAATTCAGTAATAACTACTGCATCAGTTTGAAAAAAACGATTGAAATCCGTAAACTTTGGTAAGATCCACTCAAGGAAGAAAAAATATAATTTTGTTAATGGATTATTAAGTTCTTTAAAAATTTGTTCTGCTGCCTGCAATCGTTCACTTAACCATCTATCGGTGAAAAATAATCTTAAAGCTTCCCATTGTTCAATAATGCGCTCCACGACCATTATTAAAGATAGCCAACGTGTTTGAGATGGATGTAACATCTTATGTGGTGCCACATTAACAAATTCTTGAAATTGACGAAACTGACATTGTCTTTTTGCACTTAATTTAAAAAAATTGTATATATTTCTTGCTAAATCTTCAAGTGATCGTGGAAGACTTTTGCAAGCTTCACTTGCACATAAATGTGCGGAATGACATACGCACTTTAAAATAAAAATATTAGGACATTTTTCTCTCAATCTACTAGCTACAGAATTATATTGACCCATCATTGTACTACATCCATCTGCGGCAAATCCTATCATATTTGAAAGAGGTATTGAATAATTATCAAGAGACTGTATTATGCCTTTAAATAAATTTTCTGCTGTTGCACCTTCGTTGGCATTGGTTGAATCAAAAATTTTATATAACTCTCAAAATTCACTGACAATTTTTTTTGAATTAGTATTATTAAATCTCACTACAACACAAGCGGTTTTAATGCAAGATATATCAGTTGATTCGTCTGTAAGAAGACTAAATTTATTATTTCTTAATATCTGAGCTAATTTCTCTTTATGGGAAGCACCGATAACGTTTACTGCAATACTAGTTGCTTTTGTTCTTTTCATATTAATATTTCCTATTACAGGATGATCATGGCAAATATCTTTTAACAAATCTGTTAAATGATCAGCCAATCGAAAAGGCAGATTATGTTCCATTAAAAATCCAACCAATTTTATTTCAGTTGACATAATAGCCTTACTTGCAGATTGAATTTTCCTAGTAAAACATGAAATAGATTGCTGTTTCACAGTTGCAGCTTGCATTTTCTCTTTATGTCTCACACTTTTCCCATGTCGCTTAAGAACAATTATATCTGAATTCAGTGAGCAATGGCAATACATACACTTTGCTCTATATTCATTACTTTGGTCGCGTTTTAACCAAGCACTGAATTCTGGTTGAGAAAGCCATTTATTTGTAAATTTTTGCTTTCGATGTTTTGTTTTTAATCGTTTTTTCCCATTTTTTGATGCACTGTAATTAAATCCACATTTAGTAATTCAAGAATTTTGTAAAATAATATTACATTTTTATAATCTATTCTTAAAGGACTATGCATAATAAATGAAATAGCCCAATGAACAAAATGTCTAAAATTGGAAACAACTTCAAGATATCTTTAAGAATTTTTTAAGACACATCTTAAGATATTTATTAAAAAAAACTCTGAAAAATATCATAAAGTTCTTACATATGCCGTCAATTTTATAAACATTCTGCTCATTGAGAGAGAACAAGAGAGAGACACAGAGAATAAGGAATTAAATATTTTAATATAAATTCAAATATATCATACCTTTCCTTTTCTACAGATGAATCATATGCTGATAAAGTTTCATCTGCATCATTACTATCACTGAATTCTATCTATAATATTAATTAAAATCTTTATTTAGTTCTTTAAATCAATCTCTAGTAAATTTATGTTGTCTGGGTTACATTTACAGCTTACAACCATTATAAATCCATATGTTTATTAACTCAATTAGAAGAAATCGTTCATTAAAAATAACTAACCTCCATTATGTTTCTAAAATTTATAAACACTTATGTCTATAAATTTATAAACACTTACGTCTATAAATTGTACTCTTATGTTTATTATTGCACTCTATGTGACTGGCTTTTGTTGCGTATATGTGTAACTGACCTGGCTGTCTATATAATGACATGTCGTAAACTGCGCAATGCAATTGTTTTATTATCCGTTATATCATTTGAAATCGATATTGTTAAATTTTGAATTTCGTCGTTATCTCTTTAATTCTTAGTCTTGTCATTAAAATTCTTTCTTATATGAATTTTTATTGTCTATTATATTTTTTAGTTTTTCTTTGTCTATATAGATACGGAAAGCATATTGAAAGCATTTAAATATATTTAGCGCCAAATAAAACGCACTTTTCAACAAGAAATGTGATTTGTTGGATGCAAAGATAAGAACCAATCAAATTTGTTTGCTGTTTAATCGCTGAATAGTTATGGTACGTTTCCACTGAGCGCGTCACGCGTCGTGAAAAAGAAAAAGAGAGAAGTTAATATATATATATATACACAATCCCTCTCTTTCTCTCCTTCGACGACGCGTCATGTGACGCGCTCAGTGGAAACGTACCATACGTCTCTTTTGGAATGTTACTAGTGTAGGAATCAATTAGACAAACTTACTAAGTTAATGGCAGTGTTTGATTGGCTGAGTTTACTATAATTCCTACACTAATTACACTTAATAGGTAAAATGTAACCAAGGTTTATTTTTTTCTAAAAATATTGCATAGATGTATTGAATAATAGTACAAATAGTAGTAAAAGATTAAATAGTAGTACAAAACGGCGTACGACACCCTTTGCAGTCGTATGTCGTACAAAAAACGAAATAGTCGTACAGGTACGACTATATTCGTACGTCTGGCAACACTGCTCGCGAGCGTTGCGAACGTTAAGTGAAACGTACACAAAGCGAAATACGTAATTTGTTCTCAGTTGGCAGTCCTGCGGGACAAGAAGCAGAGAAATGACAGAGAAGCGCAAATTTTAGAGAGAGACGCTTGCAATCTGAGCACACCATAGTATTGTTCGTTTTGTCTCTTGGGAGCTGCTCAAAGTCGCTCCGAACGAACCTAGCGTACTTGGATGTGGTCTATTTAATGCTGTAAATACCTCGAAATATACTTTGATTGATCAATTCATAAAATTTTTTCTTCTGATTGATCAACGAAGCATTTGCAGCATTAAATGGATCACATCCAAGTACGCTGGGTTTATTCAGAGCGACTCCGAGCAGCTCCCGAGAGACAAAACGAACAATACTCATGTAAAGCCCATTCTACATTGGTCGTATCGTAGACGTCGCAGGTCACAAATTTGTTGCAACAGCCAATCCGATGTGTCAATTAGAAATCTCACGACGCTTACGATGTTACGATACGACATCAATGTAGAATGCGCTTAATCTTCCACCATGCTGGCGAGAGTGGAGTCTCCTTATATCTTCCTTCATGGAAGAACAGAAGATGTTCGAGAAATATATCCTGCTTTGTCAAGAGTTTCTCAATATAGCTGAACCTTTCATTGACAGTGATATCTTGAATCAACTAAAATGCAATTACGCACATGAAATTGATTCAAAACGTAAACTAAGTCAGATAAAAAACCTTAAAACGTTTATAAGGTTATTGGAAAAACGAGATATTATGAGCTACAGTAATATAAAGCCATTATGGTATATATCTAAAAAGTATATTCACAAGTCTGACTTAGAGAGTAAATTGCAAGATTATGACAGTTGGCTGAAGACTTTGTCACCATTACCTTGGTGCAATGTATATCAAAGTGGTGAAAGTAAGTGTCTTTTCAATCCATTCTTTTAGTATTGTTTTAGAACTTGTTCAAAGAATATTCATAGAATAACTAAATAGTTTTGATAGGAGTCTTGTTAAATAAATATATAACATAATTATGCAAAGTTAATTAAAAAATTCTTAAATAATGAAGATAGTAGTGTAAAAATTATTTTCAAAAAGTTTGAAAATATGTATATTTTTAGTTTACTGATACTAATAAAAAGGATAAAGTAAAGGATAATTCGAGTGTCATCAATAAATATAAATAAAAAGTTATTACATATAAAAAATTAGAAATATAATCAAGACAAATTTAAACTAGGTAAATGTTAAGAAGACCCAGTCCATCTCTCACCTCCCCCACCCCCCTGCAAAGGGGCACACAACTTCTATGATTGTACTTGGGGAGACCTTTACTGACGTGCGGGAGGGGGGGGGGGGCCCGAAGGCCACCCCCTTGCACCCTCCCCCGTGTGCGTGGCTGTGACAGATTTCCTAATCTGAATATTCGTAAATTTTAACGCTTAATATCTCGGTTCGCGAGACAAAGCGACACTTTTTTTTACCAGATTCTTTCGTTTGGTGCAAAAACGCATCGATTGAGTATATTTTTATCAAAATTTGAGGTAGACGGAGTCTTCTTAACATTTACCTTAAACTGCATACATGTTTTGGTTCCTGGATTGAGCTTTCTTCAAATATAAAAGAAACCATTGTATTATAGTAACGGTAGAATTATAATATATTCGTGTGTGCGATATTAAATGAGTGACTCTTCGAGAGAACAAATTCGCTAAAAAAAGATTGATAAATCGAATGTTGGCAGAATCAATAATCTAGTTTGATATAACGTTGAGATATAACGTTTAGAACATCGAAATCATATAAGATGGAATATGTCTGCTTGTTTTGTCATAACGGATTATAGATTAAAATTTGATCATGATTTTCACCGGGACAACGTAGAAATTCTAGATGAAGAATCTTGCTATAGTAAAAGATTAATTTCTGAGATGGTGAATATTAAGAGACAAAATAACAGCCTTAATCTCCAAACAGATATAGAAGGCCTCCATGAAAGATACATACCGATTATAAACAATATATAACTTTGCAGTACCAAGAACATTAACATTAGAATATTGCGCAGTTGTTGTCAGTTAGTCGAATTGTGTAGTTCTTAATTTTTTGACTCCGTTTATTTTTTATTAATTTTTGACCTCTTAAATTTGTGATTAATTCTTTTTTAATCATCATTGACGACACAATTAGACTTATGTTTAACTTTCACCATGACTATAAATGACTTTATTCTATCGTGCTTTTCATCATTAAATTTTTTTAAATATAATATTGTGACAAACACATCATGAGTATTGTCTGTTATTTAATTGAGATAAAGAACTTTGCATAATTATATTTAAATTCACATAACTCTCAACATTATATCAAACTAGATTATTGATTCTGTCAACATTTGATTTACCAATCTTCTATCAGCGAATTTCTTCTCTCTGAAAGTCACTTATTTAACATCGCAACACACGAATATATTATAATAATTCTACTGTCACTACGATACAATGGTTTCTTTTACATCTGAAAAAGGCTCAATCCAGGAGCAGAAATATGTTATGTATGTTTAAATTTATCTTAATTACATTTATAATTTTTTATATGTAATAATTTCTTATTTCTATTTATCTCAAATTGATGACTCTCGAATTTTACTTTATCCTTTTTATTGTTTTGACATTGAAAGCTTATTTGTTTATTAGTATTTATTTTTACTGATATTCTTGAAGAGCAACATGACTTTTCTTTATTATATAGATACACTAAAATAACTTAATAATAGTTATAAAATAATTTGATAAATTAATAATAAATTATATCTTTCTACAACAGTCTTGATACCATCACTAACATCAGAGTCTATTTGCTCAGAGTGTGCATGCAATTCTATGCTATCTCAATTGTCAATAGAAAACTCATCTAAACCGTTCAATAATAATTTACAAACATTATGTTGTAATTCTGACCAAAGGGAACAATATAATTTTTATAAAAGAAGAAAATTACAAGAAACAGGTATTTTCAGCATCTTAAATTTTAATCTTTTTTTATTCGTAATGCATTTACATAGTTAGTAATGTATAATAATATACCAAAATATAACAACAAAAAAGAAATTGATCAACTTTTACACTCACTATACATGTATATGCACAACATACACATACACACACACATGTATTCATGCATATATTTTTTAAAGTGATACTGCAAATTAAAGACAGGCTGGGTCGATCTTGGCGAGACGTAGCTAGACATTTAGGTATTACAGAATGTGAAATTGATGCTGTACAAAGTAAATATCCTTATGATTTAAAGGAGCAAAGCTATGAGGTAACGTATTTATTTAAAAAAAAAACAAATATATATATATATATATGAATGTGTTTACATGAATGCTGAGCTAGACGTCTAAATCTAAAATATATACTCAAATTAAACTCGACATTAAAATAATTTTTGTTTATAGATTTTAAAAATTTATATATCGCAATCCGACATAAAGCAATGGGCCATAACTTTAATACATGCGTTAGAAAAGGGAAGACGGAGAGATCTTAAGGAACTTGTAGAGCAATTAATATTTAAAAATAAGAATATATGATATATCAATATAAGATATATCTTTATATGCATGTTGCATTAGAGCTAATATATAACACAGATTCGCGATAGTATACAATAAATTAAAAAATACGAAAGCATATGCCAGAGAGTAGACTTTTGATATTTACAAGTGAGTATATATAATTGTAATTTGTGTTGTATATACAGAGACACACACACACACACACACCATTGTATATGTATATGTATTAAAAGAGATTGCAATGATTTATTTGACGAAAAAAAAGATTCCACAAATGGCGTTTAAGCATATAAATTTATTCAAATCACAGCCCGCGCATATATCGTAATATATCTATCTCTCTCCCCCTCCTCTAATACAGGGTGTTTTATTTTAAAGGCCAATTTCACCAACCTCGGTTAAGGTTGGATTATACTGGCCGTAATCTGTTAACTTATGCTGTAATCTGTAAAAATTGACCAATTATAATCGATTATTCCCCTCTCATTCGACTGTGATTGGTCAATTTTTACAGATTACGGCATAAGTTAACAGTTTACGGCCAGTATAAATCAACCTTTAAGCTAACAGACGGTTAAAGTGTCAACCGTGATTGGTTCATTCTGGTCAAAGACAAATGCGATTGGATAATTCCATTGGAATTAAGGGTCAATTTCACCAACGTCGGTTAAGCTAACCGACGGTTAATTCCAATAGAATTATCCAATCGCATTTGTCTTTGACCAGAATGAACCAATCACGGTTGACACTTTAATCGTCGGTTAGCTTAACCTAGAGTCCTAGGCTGCGTTCCGTTTCCCGCATATGCGCGCATTCCCCTATAGTATACGTGACGCTCACTATATAAAATGCGCGCATATGCCTGTAACGGAACGCAGCCCTAGATATCAGAGAAGCGCAACCGGCTTAAGTCAGTATCGCAAAATTACTAAGTATTAAAAATGGCGTCGTTTGCAGACGAAATATGAAATCCACCAATCGTCTATTAGTCAGCCATTTTTAATACCACTGAATGTATGTCATGATTGGCTGACAGTCAGCTAATCAGGACGCGGAACATCGGTTGCGCTTCTCTGATATCTAGGACCTAGTGACCCTCTAATAAGAGTCTGGCCACCTTCTCCCCGGTTTGTGATTGGTCCGACATTTATCATCCATTCCCGCAAATTTCTTTAAATTTATAAACTGTAAAAATTAATAAATTCGTAAAAATTAAAGTAGAATCAATTACAATTTTTATTTTTATTATTATTTAACTTATATTAACATTATTAAATATTTTCTATAAAAACTTTTATGTAAAAAAAACGTTGCAATATGTCTTTCATAAAATAAAAACAACAATTAAGTAAGTATTATAAATAGATTGAAAATATAAAAATTAATATATTAAGAATATATAAAATTTATAAAAATATTACAAGATTAA